TGCCAGAGCTTTCCCTACCCTACTATTCACTTCTATGTGAAAGTTTTTGCCCCTAAAGTTTCCTGCTTCCGCCTGCTTCTTTTCCCCGGGGACCTCTTAAGATTTCATTGTTTAAATTTACTGCGGCATTCTTTGTCCTTTCTGCTGGCAAATAAAACAAAGCGGGGAGAAAAAAAACAAAAATGGCAAATTCAAATCGCGAACTGCTTAAAAATGAACAACAAATGAAATTCCCATAGGTGGCAGAAGTTTGCCTCGTCTGCAGGCATTTAAATGGCAACGGTGGCGTATACGCAACGCCAAGAAAATCTCCTCTCAGCTGCGCCACCAAAAAACTTTTCCAGCCTGCATCCTTCGTGTCGCCACTCCTGCTGCTGCTCCTGCTCCTGCTCCTACTCACCTGCTTCAATGTCTGCAAAGGGGCAACATTTAATGTCATGTTTGTAAGTTTCTAGACGATGCCAACATGTTACTTTTGGCCCGACCCAGCGACTCCTTTGCTCTCCCTTCTTGAAGTTACTTCTCTCCTGATCCTGCCGGCTCTTCCGCATCTCCGTTTCCTGGCGGCGGCACAAAGTCACTTTCTGGCATTTTCACGAAAATGTCTGGAAAAGTCCGTTGGTTTCAGCTCCCTAATTCACTAGCTTTAAGTTTTAGGAAATTAAATTATTTAGGGGAAAGTGGATAAGTTATTAAGGTGTGAGATGAGATAAGTTATATTTATTATTTGAGGAGGTGATTCATACTTTGTTTTAACCTTAAAATTTTACATCATTTATCTTATAATCAAACAATGAAAGCCAAACACTTGATATGGACACTTAAGCCTTCTTTAAATCAACAAGGCAAAACTATAGACAAGCGACTTGTCAAAGTCAACATAACAAAAGTTTTCAATATACTCAGACATTATCCTGCAATGGCATTATAAACAATTCATAAACATGCTCTTGCTCGTACATGCAAACACCCACAACTACAGAGACAGAGCTGGGAAGATTATGTCAGAGACAATCGGATTAATATCAGACAAGAACAGCTCTGAGCAGGGCAAACATCAATGAGACGACAAATTGTAATGAAAACTGATTCCAGATGGGGAAAATTTGTGGATGGAAAATCTGGTTACGGGGGGCGTGGTGATGGTAAAAAGGATTGCAATTGCTTTGTTGCCTCAGCTAATAATGTTGATCTGATTAGCCCAAGGACCGCGGGGCAATTGCTGAGTAGACTTAAGAATTAAATCAGGAAAACGGCTAAATGACTGCCAGACAAATAAGTCGACTTACTTGACTTTGCCCCAACTCATTTGCAACTGCCATCCCCTCCCCCCTTTGAATATGTGTCAAAAGTTCTCATTTGAAGTAATTAAATTTAAATTGAATTCACCCGGCAAGTCTGTGAAATTAATAAGAGCGGGAAAAGCAGAAGGCAGGAAACTTTTTTAATCCTTTGCTCATTTGTTTTTCTTTTAGGACTTTTTTCCTTTCATTTTTTTGGAGTGCGTGAAGTGGGTTTTGGGGATTGCCTTTGGGGTCTCTCTCCCTGCATTTCCGGGTTATTAAAACTTTGAATGAAAAACTTTACTGCGTAATGGATTTGAATGAAACAAAATATCCAGCACTGACTGCACTTCAATAAAACTGTTTTATTAAATTATGAAAATGCCGAAAGAGCCAGTTGTAAGAAGCAATGTTAGTCATAAGATATGATTATGAGATCATTTCTAATATGTATTTCCATTTTTAGAATATTTTTTAACCATTTCTGAACACAGAAAAAATCTTAAAAAATTCATTTACTATCCCAGATCTTATTTAGAACCTCCTTACTTCTTAGCCAATTAACTAAGCTGGTTTAACACTCCACCGATAACTTTAAGACCCGGTGAAATGGTCCCGGGTTCAGTTATCGATGCTCGTGAAATGCAAGCGCTCCGAAATGAAGCCATAGAATGGCGGTTTGGCACTTGCGGAACACGGCAATGGGTCATACCAAGTGTCGCGCACACAACTCTTTCCAACCAGATCCAGCTCTAATCGCTCCCAGTCCAGTGATATACCCCCCCCCACCACCCAACCCCGCCCCATCGCAACTGTATTCCGCTGTTTTTCAGCCCACTCGCATGTTGCATCCGCTGGCGCATTGACTTTCATGTCGCGCCCCTCGCCAAATGAGTCACAATTAAAAGCGATCCGGGCAAGAATTTGAGCTTGGGATTCGACATAGGAGATACCTATTAATGCTGTATTATATAAAGAAAATTGTAAGCCTCTTTTAATGGATTTTCTTTTGCTTAATAAATATTTTTTTTTATTTTTATTAACAAACTTTCCACTTAACCAATATACCCAACTTTTTCCAACAGCCCAAGGGGTATGTAAAAAGACTTACCTTACTGGAAAGCGAAAGCGAAATTGTTATTGCAACATGCAACCGCAACTGCCAAAGCAACAACAGCAATGGCAACATTAACCACTATGTGGCTGCGTCGTCTCGCAATAATTGTGAGCAAATATTACACGAAAGCGCGGAAAATCGAGTAATGGCTGGAGGGGGCTTCGGTGGGGATTGGAGATTGGCGGGGCAAACGGCATATTATCGTGGCAGGCGATGACGATAACCGCAACAACAACAATGCAACATCATAATTATCGACCAGCTCCACACGATTTTCCCTCCCCCTAACGTTGCGGCAATTATGCCAAAAGCGCGTTTATAATGTGAAAAGAAACCAAAGATAAAATATTGAATTCCAGTCAGAGAAAAAAAAAATGAAAAACTAAACCAAAACGAAGCTTAAATCATTTGAGGAAAAGCCGTCAAGGAAATCGAGTAATGTGTGTGAGCTAAAAAAAAAATAAAAACGAAATAAAAAACGGACAAGAGAAGCTGAACAGAAGAGGAAAAAATGTAATAACGAAAGTTGTTGGTGTTTAGAGTGGCTTGTCGGCGTTGCATTTTATTTTATTTAGAGCACGTTTCTGTGGCACGTTACGAAATCAATACCGGAGTCGTTCGTTGCATTCAAACTCCAGCAACATCAACGCCGATTGCGGCAAACAATTAAAAGGCTCACAGACCCAGCACAGTTGGCACATTTTATTGCTAATTAAATAATGCGAAATTTGAAGAAATTATTTAACTGACCAATCCATCCATCCATCCATCCGATCCATCATCATGCAATAAAATAATAATCGTTTCCGCTGGCTCAGTGCCTTTCAATTGCTAAATTGCTGTCGATTTGAAAGAGTGTTACTTATATGGGGATAGTAAAAGATATTTTTTAGTACTTAACTACTTTTGCTAAGATCCGTGTAATAAGGTGGCGTTCACGTGTGACTACAAGGAAATTAAAAATCGTAATTAAGTGATAATTGCTCCTCTGCAGAAGTGTAGTTTATGCAACTGTTTATCAAACATTTTGTTGTCGATTCAATTTAACATTTTCCTTAAAGAGCTGGCACATCATAAAAATCATATAAAGGCTTTGGAAGCAAAGCGAATTAGTGCTTGAAAAGTTCTTTAGTACATAAATTGTTATTTCAGATTTAATTTAATGGCTCTTAACACTTTTCACACTTTCCACATGCCATTGTATTCCTGAATGTCACTTGGACAGAGCCACAGTGTCATTGAATTGATTTACCAACGCCCATTGCTAATTGACAGCGGCATTCATTAGCCTCTTCCTGTCCCCAAACACCCGATCAGAAGGCGGTAGTTTTCCGGGGGCGGAGCCTTTTGGCGCCAGGATGATGATGGCGGGTGCAAACATTCAGAGAGCACACAAACACCGCTCGGTTGCATGTGCCCCAGTTTCCGTGACCGCTGCTGCTGTTGCTGTTGCTGCTGCTGCTGCTGCTATGAATTTCCCGTTTGCCTCTGTCGATTTTCTATTTTTTCGCATTTTCACCAGTATGACATAATGACGCGTCGCTCGGGTTTTTGATTGATCGATCGAGAAGGAAATGGGTAACAAAAACAGAAAACCGGGAGAGCAGGCAGGCAAGGTGTCAAAATTGTTACAAATCAATAAAAATGCAAAGTTTAAATATAACTCACAACTTTGATTGCCTTTCGGCGATTCGTTTATTTTAAACTAAAATTTATAAAATTGCATGGACAGGCTCTTGGCTTTGATTTGCTTGGAACCGAAGGTACTTTTAATCTTCTTCCCGATTTGCAATCCAGAAAACTCAATTAGTAAGCTCACAAAACTATTTTGTAGTGTTTTCCTGCATGATTGTATCCTTTTCCTGTCCTTTAGCTGTGATTTTTTATAGATCCTATCGGATTTATAAAGTCCCCAGGCTTTCTTTGTAGTTTTAACCGAGGAACCTCTTCGTCATCCTCCTCGTCTTCCCCATCAACCTCTGATTCAAAACCAGAACCATTCGCTTCCTTACTTTGCCATATTTTTCTGAATCTGGCCAGGCTAAGATCATGAAGCTTCATCCACGTGGCCCCGGTAGAGTAAAGAGCTAATGCGGCGAATACAAGCCATGGATGGAACATCATTATGCGGTCGCTACCAGCAGTGGCATCATTGCAATTGGGGGGAGTTGTATCGGGTACAGGGACTCCCACCTGTTCAGAACTCATCTTGGACTGGGAGAAGGATCAAATAGAGTCACAAAATATTTGAGAACTTCAAGCCAATTATTTGACTGCTATAATTTTGTTTTAAAAATCAAAATGTTGCTTTAAAACTGAAACCCGAATGTCATTTTTTGACAGTTAGATCTAAGATGTTGAGACAGGAAGAAAAATATAATTCCGAAAGATTTTGGGATGGTAATGTATGAAAATTTTGTAACAGGTAGAAGATAGGTGATATGGAATATATATATATATATAAAATCCATAGCCGCTTTGATTTTATATCCAATAATATTTTTATTCAGATCACAATTTATGTGTCATGACCCCAAAAGGGCCCAACTACTGACTAAAACCCATCCCCCCAGATAAAAATTGCCATAAATTCATAAAAATTTTATGTAGAACCATTTAATGTGAGCCAATAAAAAACTTGAATTTGGATGTTTTCTTTTGAACAAACAATTTTTGTCCCCCAGGTGATGGGTGGTTAGTTTCCAACGTTCATCGACGATCCAATCCTCCCCTACTTAAATCGCAAGCATTACAACAATAGTGTCCTTGTGTATAGTGTCCTTCCAGTGTCCTTCATCCCGAGTCCCAAGCATCAGCAAACGGCGGGCGGCACTTCGATTGCACGAACATTCATATTGGGATCATCAGTAGTTTTCCTAATATCCGTTTCGATCGTAGATTCCTCGTCGTCATCGGCATCAGACTCTGCCTCAGATTCAGATTCAGATTCCACTTCGTTCTCCACCATGGGCTTCGATTTCTTCCCTTGACGATTCTTGGATTTCTTCTGTTTGGCCAAGCCGATATCACGAAATTTGATCCACATGACCTTGGTGGCATAGACGGCCACAGCGGCAGCCGCCAGCCAGGGATGAAGCATCATCATACGGGCGCCAGCAGTGGTCGTATCGGGCGCAGCCTCTGTGGTAACTTCTGCGGCATCAGCGGGGGGTGCAGCTTCATCTCCCATCTTGTACTAAATGAAAAAAAAAGAACCAATTAGAACGGAATTTTCTTAAGAATTTTAGTTCACAAATACAAAACTTTTTCACTTTCACTTTAAACTTGTTTTTTTCGTACTTGCCTTTTAAAAGCAGAAAAAAGCGACTGGGTTTATAATAAACTCTCGAATAATATTCGTTGTTAACTGTTGAGGTGATGGAGTTGGAATGAGTTGTACAGCGGACGAGATGTTTCAGGTCTTGGAATTTCGAAAAATCGGCCTACTAAGGTTGAATTTAAAACGTTCTAGGCAGCAAGTACGATGGGATGATTCCATCCCTTTCGTAATAAGAAAGTTCATATCACTTAAGATTGGTAAAGAAATGAAATTTGGCTTTTTATATAGCTAGAAAGATGTCATAAGATCTGCCCAATTAAACTAAGAATTTTGCACTTCCAAAGACTTATTTTGATATAAATATTAGCAGTATAAAAGCAAATTGCTCCATTGTACCTTCGAATAGTCGAACCAAGGCAAGCCATGGAAATTGGTTTGTAAATGATTTTAAGCCTGCTAAGCCATCAGGAACTGCAAAACTAATGATGTCAGTAGAATATTCTACATGAACTGCCACTCTCTCTCTCTCTCTTCGTTATAACTACTCTTCCTCTGTGGTGTGTACTTTATATTTCATAAGTTGATGAATTTTGTAACAAGTTGTCACATTTGCCAGCTGAGAGTTGTACTTCCCCCTCTCCACCCTAACATCTTGGTCTCAGCCAAGCGTCAAATGACACAACGCAAACAAATGCAATTTGCATTTGCATTTGCATTTGCAACGTGTGTGTGTGTGTGTATGAGTGAGTTTGTTTCACTCACTCTCAGTGTAAATGTGTGGGTGTGTGAACTGCAAAGGTGGTGTTAATTTCGCAGGCAAACATTTCAATCTCGTTGCCAGTTTTTACTTTAACCACACCACAAATTTCCATTAAATTTTCTTTTGCTTTAAGTCTGATTATGTTGATAGCAAACCTATTCCAAGTTTTTGGATGAAAGCAAGATGATTGAGCTTAAAGGATTTTAAAAATGAAATTCTCTCATAAAAAAAAGGATTTACAATCCATTAATTAAACTCCATGAACACCTGAACATGGCCTAAGCATTTTTCCACTCCAAAGGACACTCCACATCTCTCCTTGATTCGCACGAAATCTATCTTCTACAGACTTCAATATGTCACGACTATCAATTCCGGCTCCATTGCAATTGAGATTGGATTTGGATTGGGATTGTTATGTGCGGCGAAGTCATAAACATTCAATGTGCAACGTGGCGTATGAGCAACACACGGAATCCATCTCGACCTGCCATAGATGTAAATTTTGATCGATTGCCTTAGTTGCGAGAAACCACTGAGAAAAAGCATTTCAATTAAGTTCTCAGCTGATCCGTGAAATTTAAAATTTCTTTCATTCCTTAGAAATCATTTCATAAAATCGAATATTAAATCAGAAGTGAATTTAACCGTTGACATATATTTAATCACTGGCAAAATAAAATATTTATCGCACATAGCGTCGGATTATTTTCTTTTTGTGCCACTTGCCGATTAAAATCATATGGCGAGAACAATGAGTGAGATTTCACGAGGCCTGCATAATTTACCGCTCCGGAAGTCGCCGCGGATGTCGAGAGTTTAAATGCGGCGTCTGTTTTTCCAACCATCCTGCCCCTCGTGTCGCCTCCTACACAATTTTCCAACCCATAAGTAGGCTATACTAGTCGACTTGCCCTGTGTTTCATTTTTCCCCTCCCCTTCCGTCTCTTTCTTTCTCTTTTTTTTGTATACACTGCCTGCATTGTTAGCCAGCTGCCTCTGCTACTTTTCCTTTTTTTTTTTGGCAGCAATTTTATTGTTGCACAAAGTTCCCAATTGCACAATGAAAATGGTTGAAGGGGTGGAGGTAGTAGGTAGGAAGAACACCCCCGAAAACTTTTCGCCCACGCCCCTAAAGTTTTCTGGGCTTGCAAATGCATTAAAACAATGCCAAAATTCGGAGGCCCAACTATAAAAAAAGGGAAAACTAAAATGGATATACAGACACTAGATAATAGGGGGAAATGCCTCTGCCTGCGACTGTGCCACATAGTCATAGTAAATATTAACTTCTGTCATCTGGTGTACCTTTGCCAGAAAACCATAAAGTAACATTGACATCTAGATTTATGTATCATCATGTCGACATTCTGAATAGACAACTTTTCGGTGATTTTCCCTATGAACTTTAGCTCCTTAATGCGAGTTTGTTCATATATTTTATTGGCCTAGATGGCTCGTATTTCCTACCGAAACACACACACACACACACCCATAGCACTTTTCGCACGCAGTTTTCCGGCTCCAAGCCCCTCCCCTTCACCCCAGAGAGTTCCCTTTTGTCATTGTGAATACTTTGGGTATTTCGCCTTGAAAGCGCCATAAATCTTTTTATGATTTTAGCTTCTCCTTCAGCAATGACTTGATTCGCCTTTTTCGCAGTGATTGTTATTGCGACTGCGACTCCGACGATTGTGACGCATACAAATTTCGATGTGTTTGTCACTAATACTTGCAGATATCCTTTGACCCCAACCGCCATGCAATTTTCCTAACTGATGTACCCTTTTTAGTGAGGCTGAATTTTGGTTCTGTTCACTTTAGAGGCTTCAAGTTAATAATAGAAAATAATTATTTAAGATGCTTGATGGTTTAAATTTGTTTTGATTTTTGATGCCGTATTGAACTGAATATTATACAAAATTTACTAAAATTAACAACTTTTTTAATACTCTTTTTTTGTCCAAAAAATAAATAACTTTCTGGGTAGCAAACCTATTTCCTACCTTTAATGGAAAGTGTTGAAAAGTTAATATTTCACCATAGGGTAACCTCTGCTTCGATCCATTATAGTAAATACCCCATTTGAGCAATTTTCAACAAACATTTCGCGGCAGCACGCAACGCCATTTTGGCGACGAACGCCATGAAAACGGAAAATGGCCCAAACACGCGACGTCCCCGGCTGACGGGAAAAAATGGTTCTAGGACGGAAAGCCTGGAAATCCTCGGCTTTTGGCCAGGCCAGCCCACCAATGGCGCCAATGCTAAAGCTAAAGAAAAAGAAGAAGCAAAAACAACAGCAACAACTGGCTACAAACGTGGCCATAAGATGAGCGCCACAGTTGGTTTGAGTTCGGCATAAGCCAGGCGCCAGCAAAGTTGTAAAATCGGCAAATGGCATATAAAAATCGTTGGAATTGTTGTCGTCACAGTTCAGAGTTGGATTTGGATTTGGATGTGGCTTTGGATGTGGCTTTGGCAACCAACTAGCGCCAGTCAGACTAGTTCCACATCCTAGTAATGCACAGGAGTTGGGCTGAGGTAAAAGGTTAAAAGGGCAAGGCAAACAAATTCTGTTCTGTTGATTAACAAATCGGTTTTGGGTCAACGATGCGTTGTTGAGAGGATTATAAAATCAAAAATTTAAGTGCTGCCGAAATGAGTTTATGCCTGAATTTGTACAAAGTCATTAAACTTTTACGAGCTGTAAAGAGTTAACATTCCTTAATTTTATAAATGTCTTTAACCGTCTTAATAAATTTATCTAAATTTATTTAACTTTCTGATATAAAAATATAGTTTTTAATTTGAAGTTACCTGATTTATGTCACCCATTAAAATTGTTAATAATCTTTAAATCATTTAAATTACAAGTTTAAGCCGAAATGACACTATCAATCTTCATTTAACATGCTACAAACTCTTAACGTGGCTTTAATACCCGCCATTAGAACTCTTTAAATTTGGAACCTAATGGCCCCGTAAAAAGTGCCCAGTAATTAAGGTCAACGTGTGACAAAATGCTTGTAGCCTTTTCCTTTTTTTTTCGCGGGCATGAAAAGTTTTATTAATTGTATGACATAAGCCCGATGGGCTGCCGAGGTTGTTTGGTCATTGGGGTTAAGGGAAAAGCGTGAAAAGTTGGAAAAACTGGAACAAATCATTACACACGAGTGCCAGGACAACGTTGACAGCGGCCAATTCACACACACACCCGCACAACAATGCAAATTAGCGTAGCCGTTTTATGCAATGCCATTGAGTCATTAACACATTGACGTCCTGAGTCCTTCGTCCTTCGTCCTTCGTTTTCGTCCTGCCTGAATCCTCATTCCTGAATCCCTATGCATGGGTCACAGTTCGAGTGTGCGTGTGGACGAGCATTAGTGTCATCAGCATTCGTGGCCCGTCACATCAACACCAATCTGCGAGGACGAGGGCATGGCGCTGAAAGGACCTCGTTCCGGGTTCATCCTCGTGCCTTTACATTAATTGAAATTAGCTGACTGACACAGAAAAAAGTCAAACGATTAATGGGTTTTAGGGATTTAAAGAGTCGGCAGTACTTTCAATCTCAATATGGTCGCCTAATTAAAATTGATTATTCGAATCTTTTAGGCTTCCTTTCGTAGCTTTAATTAGGAGTTTTGATTCTAAAAAAAGAAGTATATATTCTTGAAATAAAATGTATTAAATTAATGATAAACATATATATTTTTAAATATTTAAATAGCTAAGTTAAAGTGAGTTTTGGTTTACCGTAAAGTGGAAATTTTGAATATTTTCAAGAAAACTTTCCTAACTTTAAGTCCCATTTTGTCCCAGAAAACACTTCGTTTAGAGAAGCATTTTAAATGACCATCAAACTGAGGTTCATTAATCGAATCCTTGTACAACCGAAATCCATCTTGAGAGTTGGAACCTCAATCCTAATGCCATTGAAAGATTCTCCAACCAGCCTACAACAATTGAAACTCGAGCACATCGTCATCATCATCATCATCAGCAGCAGAGCTCGAGGACGAGGACGACGACAAACGACACAAAATATGGAAAAATGAAAAGGAAAAATCCGAAGCACCCATCTGCCATCCAGTCAGCCATCCATCCGTCTAACCAACCAACCATCTATCCATCCATCCAACCATCCATCCATCCAGTTCAAAGCCAGCTGCAGCTTAATCCCGAAGCTTTGGCATTGCTTTGGATCAGCCACTACATAGAGTACAGTACATATAGAGTGCAGTTCAGGTGCAGGTGGATATATGTGATGATAACGATGATGATGATGATGATTTCGACTACGACTGCGATGGCGGCAAGAACGCTTGACAATGACGCCATTGAAAGCACTTTTCCCAGCATTATGTGGCTGTGTGAATCCTAAAGCTAAAGGCTGAATCTGAGGTTGCTATTGCGATTGCGGTTGGGATTGAGTTGAGTTGTGTTGAGTTTGAGGAGGCAAGGCGGGGCCAACAGTTTTTCGGTTTGGCAATCAAAAAGTCATCAAATATGAATTTTACGCTATAATTTTTCACCTGAGCTGGATGGGGGGGGAGAAGGGGAAACCATCCACCAACGTTTAGCTGCCATTTTTATGGCTTTTCTACCTTGTGCACGCCCTTTGGCACGTCTTTCAACTCAATTGCACTTTTGTGCATTTCTTCTTAACAAAGAAAAAAAACACTTCTACGAGTATGTAGCCAAGGTGTCTTCCATTTTCTATGGCCATATATATATGAGAAAATCCGTATAGACAGATGTTGGCAGACGCATTCGAATTGATGGAAGTGTGTCCTGTGGCTTTTCCCAAAAAATATTCAATTCAATATACACGCATGTTGATTGAAAGCGATTGGGAAACCAAATCAACGTCTAAGTGCCGAAACTCGAAGGCAAACTTTACGGATAAAGAGTCAAGTGTTGAGATATCCGAAAGTTTTTATTTGTACAGCTTTGGCATTAATCGCTCCGGGAGTTTAATCCATGGCAGCTGAGAGATCTGCTGCTTGGGTATCAGAAAGCAAAATGTTTTATTAATAGCTGACAAATTATCAAATATTTGATATTTAAAGTTAACTTTAAGCATATTTTATAGGTATTTGTTGTAACTTTTTAATTTATTTGTATATTTTTAGGGGATATATTTTATGACAGGTCTAATTTTAAGGTTTAAATTACTTCCATTAGAAGTTATTCTAAGAAAACCTTGAGGATTAACCTTACTCATATGATTTCCTTAAACTTAACATCTTTTATTCTTCTTTTCCTACTTCTTTACTTTTATTTTCTTTACGTATTCTGTTTTTTATTCAGCTGCTCAGGGAACTTCTGTGCTTTTTGTGTTGGGCAAAAATTAAATTAAAGTTTATGCAAGCGTAACGGCAGCCAGCAAAAATCATTTGCCACAAAATCCACTAAAACCCAATTTTGTGCCAACAAATAAAATGAAACACGCACAAACAGCAGTAGCAGCAGCAGCAGGAGCATCAGGAGCAGCGAAATAGCAACAAAGAGGGAGTCCTGGGCGAGCATGTGTAGAAATAACAGGACCAAGAAGGAAAACCAGCCAACCAGCCATCCAAGGACCAGACAAACTGATGCACCCAAGGAAAACGCAGCAAAAAAAAACACAGAGGCAGCATCAACAGAAACAGCAGCAGCAACAAAAGCTGAAATCTGCCTCAAGACGTTGCAGTAGTTGGCAAAGGGAGTGCACTTTAAGAAAAAGTCCTACGAAAAATCTAAAAAAAAATTTAAAGAGTTTAAACAAGAAGAAATGATTATTATTACATTATGTATTTATCTATGTAGCCAGTTTATTTCAGCTTATAAAAATCTATCTTAAGATATAATATGATCTTTAAGCATCTCTCTTTAGAGACCATATCATTATCCCTAAGTGCATGGAACTAGAAATGGAATGAGCGACTTGGTTGGCTGGAGTCGGGATTCGGTTTTGTGGCTGTGACGCAGATAAGCAAAAGTTTCGCTCAGTTCTTGAGTTGAAGTTGATGTGGGTATGTGGAAATGTAGAAATGCGGAGATGTGAAAATTCTAACTGAAGAAGGAGAGAGTGCAGAGTGGCAACCGAATCAGAACTGAGAAATCATGTCATTTGGCAGGCAGCGCCGCAACATTTTGCCGCTTTTAATGTTAGCCAAACTGTCAGATGATGTTGTCTGTAAGTCCGTCTCCTTTGGCCGCCAGTCTGTTCTCCCACTTTTACACTTAAATGCCAAACAATGCAAGTGTAGCTGCAACATGTTGCAACATATTTCAGCTGCAGGGCTCTTCGGCTTGTCAAAAGTGCCGATAAGTAAAGCTGGCAAAAGTTATCGATAATTTATTGGATTTAAAAGTGGTTTTGGGAGCAGTTTTAAAACATTTAATATTTAATATTTAATTTCTAATAATTTTAATCAGCAATCTTTCACTTCCTCGAAAGCTCTGGGTTACTTTTGCTGGCTTACTTTCTCCACTGCCCACATCCGATCCAATCTGGTTTCCTTCCTGCTTCTTTTCCTCGGTAATACGAAACGCCATTGCGTATTTTTCAAATAATTAAATGCTAAACATGAAGACCTGCCAGATGTTGGGAAAAAAGGGAAAAAGGGGAAAAAAAAGGAAAGTTGTCGCGACATCAAGATACTATATACTTTTTTGTCCGCTTTTCCCTTTTGGGCAGCTCAAGTTGGGAAGCAGATGACGATGATGATGAAAGTCAAGTCAGTCAAGCCGGTGGCAACTTGAAGCCAACTTAGCCAGTCAGCTGAAACTGTTGCCCGGCCAAAAAAAAAGGTAAGCTGCAACGGCAGCCCAGATAAACCTTTATCAAAAGTTGCACCGCCCACTCATCACACCGTATACTCCCCCCCCCTACCTGTTCCCGCCTCGCGATTATCTTTCCAAGTCAGTTGCCGTAAGGCGACACTTTTAGTGCACTCTCCTTCGTGTGACAGTTCATAGTTCACAAACGTTCACAATGGCACAAACAAACAAAGAAGCAAGCAAACAAACAAACAGACAAACACAACTACGCTGCTGTCCTTCAACTGCCAGGCTCCACTGCTTTGACATTTGCCACCTGGAACATTTCTTTTTAGCCATCCTTCCTTTTTCTTTTTTCTGCTGGGCAAAGTTTTACCAACTTATCGCCTACTTTGGCATTGAATATTGCCCTGACTTAGCCGCTTCTCAATGGAAAGTCAACTAATTTGCACGCAGCGGAAAGTTCTTCTAGTACTTTCGTTAAACTGTGGATAGGAATATTGAAAAGAATTAAATATTTCTCTGTGTGTACTGGTAGAAGCTAATCTTGATCCTTCTAATGATCGCTGGTGTTGATTTCCTCAGCTGCTTGGCTGAAATAGCGCATACGCCACGGGGTCCGGCCGGAATACGCATAGCAATGACGAATGGCAGGCGTTAAATGGCGTTGATAGGGTGGGATGATTAGTTAGGGATGTGCTTAAAATAAATAACTTTAAGTTAAAACAGGCAACTCTCTTTATGACTTTTAAGATTGGATTAAGAAACCTTTCAAAAACCAAAATTTTTACCTAATAGCTAACCAGAACTCTAGTAGCAACCCCCGCAGTGTAGTCAACTGGTACATTCAAGTATCCTACTTCATTTCACTCATTAAAAGCGGCACCTGGGAAGCGGAGAAGGCAATGATGGAATGGCAGCACAATCAGCTAACCAAACTTAACCAGGAAAATTTCCCCAGCTCCTTGTCACCTCTTCACACACGCATCCTGGCACAGATCCATTAACGTGTGTTCGAGTATCAAAAGGGGAGTGCAGGGAAAAGTGAGAACAGTTTAAACGCAGGCAAGAGAAAAGCTCTAATGGCAGTTTGTATCTGCATCTTTATCTGTGATTTAGCGGCGGTATTTGTACAGCGAGAGAGTTTACCCAGAGAATGATTAGCAGCATGTCTAATTACCTTTTTGAGAAGAGTATTTAACTTTCTGTTTATAGGTGAGAAAAGTTTTATATTCAATGGAACGCTTTTCTAGTGAAAATATTACCATTCAGAACGAACTACTGTAGGCCCGAAATCGATTCTCTGCTAATGTTGTTTTCCACTTCAAACTGTGTCGAACTCAGTTTTGCCACACCAACCAGAACCTACAGGCATTAGTCGGATTCCATACCCTTCAAGAGAATGACGACTGTTGAGGTAGTTAGTCTTCCGCCAGATTCACCTATCTGTGCCTTAGGTTTTACCTGGGTCATTTTGGTGAACGCCTGCCTTCCGGACATAGCTCGTACCAGACAGAGATGCAAGGTAGGCAGAGTTACCGATAACCGAAAGATCATATTCATACAACAGATTTCCCCTTTAGTATGGTTACTACTATCACTTTAAATTAAGAAAATGTATGCGCCGTAAATATAACAATCAACAGAAGCCGGGTTATATTGGGAAATGGATGACTGAAGCACCAAAACCGACTCGTCCAAAACCAACACGTAAGCCTAAGGATCATACTGATGTTGGGAAAATGTGGGGCTACAACCAAGGATATAACTCGCAACTAGCAAATGTATCGAGCATTAACAAAGCATAAGAAATGGATGCTATACGGGCTATGAAAAGTATAAGCTATAGAAGTTGTAGCTTTTCTGATAAATCAGTTAATATAATAGAACCTATTACTCCATCCACCTGAATTGCTTATAAAAATAAAATTGAATCTATTCCTTTATGGAAATATTAAGTTGAAAAGTTTCCTTTAAATCTTAAAACATTAACCTAACCCGACGAAACTGAAAACCAACAAACTGAAAACCTTTTCTTTAATTTTTCATTGCAGGTACGTTCGCTGATTTGACGGCAATGTGGGGAAAGGACACTTGCCAAAACAAATGTCACGTGAGCCACACAAACTTTTCCCCCTTCCCCCTACCCACTCCCTCTCTGTAAATCTGGCTATAGATTTTTTTAGTGTGTGTTTTTTTCCGTTTGCCGCTTCTGGTTCATCATGGCAGCACATAGAAATATTTGGCTATTCGACAGCATAATTTTTTTGTTGTTCGCTTTTCCTTATTTCCTCGTGATTTTTTTCCCGGCGCTCTACGATTTTCTCTCTCAACCCGATCCGTGATTTGGCAGCCTGAAACCACGTAAGCCAAACGGGGAAATGAGGGGAAGGTAGTTCCGTCATGTGTCTGCGTCTACTTTGCTCTGATTACAAAACCCAACAACAGAATCACTGAGAGAAATTATTAGTTTTTTCTTAAGGTATTTTTCGTGATTTTGTATAAATATTTACAGGATTTTTTATTTCATTTATTATGCTAAAATATTTGCAGTAAAAGACTAAAAATATCTTAATGTATAGATTAAAAAAATGTAATCTGTTAGAAAATATTTTTTTAAATTTATAATAATGCTTCACAATCTAATTTTATGAGTAGTTATAAAAGTAGTAAACTTTATTTTCTACCAATTTTAAATATTTTTTCTCTCTGCAAAAGCAAAAACAATTTGGCAGTCGGGCTCGCGCGCTTTGTTAACGCCCGAGCGACCCTCAGATTCGGATGAGGATGTGGATGTGAGATGCAGTTCAGTTCAGTCAGTTTTTGTCCTTCCACACCTCCGTTTTCCCTCCGTTTGCCAACTTTGTTTTAAGTGAAAATTGAAACTGAGCTCAGCAACTGTCCGATGGCTTTTTATTTGGTGATTGCTTAGCTGCTGCTGCCTCTGCTGCTGCTTCCACTGCTCCTCCGTGTCCTTTCCAAAAAATCGTGTAACTGAAAACTCAAAGCAAACGAAAAATCTACGTGACACCAGCGGAATGCCAGAGAAAGCTCTTTGAAGAAACGGGGCAAGGAAATGTGGAAAGGACAACACATGCAGGACAAATAACTAGCGACGGTTTCTACTTCGATGGGCTTTCTCAAGGCTCGGCGACAGCGCCTTTTACGACAGCTTCAACGGGAAAATAGCTCAAAAGAGGAAGAATGTTTTAAAAAATTAAAGTTTTTTTTACTTTTTCTAAGTTCTAAAGTCATAAATTATAACCCAAAAGAAAGAAATCTTCATTTTTTGGCCTCATTTTTCTTTTGCGAAATAGCAAATTGAGCCATGGGAAAGACAATTTTTGTACATCTGATGATTAAAATTAACCACCTTTTTCATTTGAGGCTGATATTCAAAAATCCATATTTTGTCCATTTTTGAATTATTGATAAATGGTTCCATCATTAAATTTTGCAAAAAATGGCCAATAAATTACATATTAAACTGTGAATGGAAATCGACTAGAAATTACATTACGAGATCAGCTAGATCTGACATTCCATATTTTGACCATTTTTGGCAAAACTGTGAAAAAATATTTTCTTTTTTGGTGACAATTCGGGATAAAGATTCTAGTCCAATATTTGCGCTATCCTTTCTAGTTTTAAGCTCATAAATTGATCAAAATAAGACGTAGAGCTAAAACAATCACAGTTTTGAGCAGCTAATGACCGAAACTTTCCACACTATTAATTTTTAGGTTGCTATTGAAAAATTTATTTTATGGTCAATTTTCGCATTTTTGATAAGGGGTTACAACATCAAAATTTGGGAAAAATTGATAAAAATTTATATTTTTAGGTGTGAATACAGTTCTGTTGGAAATTTAATTCAAAACTCAACGGGATATGACATTCCATGCTCCGACCATTATTATCATTGTTAGGAAAAAATTAAAATTTGTTTGAGGATAAATTAAAATAACGATTCTTAAGTAATATTTTCAGTGTATTATCTACGCTTACAGCCTATAAAATAGTCAAAACAGACGTACAGCTTAGGGAAGAACTGTTTTGTACAGCTAACGACCCAAACTTACGATTTTTATCATTCTTTCACTGATTTCGGGAACTCAATATTTTGGCAAATTTTGGCATTTTTGATAAGGGAATACCATCATAATTTTTAGCTAAAAGTGGGAAAGTGGTGTTACGAGTTCAATGATGTATTGCTTTCCATATTTAAAACATGTTGTGATAGAAATGCTGAAGAAGGTAATCAGGTAAACTGCTGCTGAACAATTTTTGCAATATTTTGTTTAGGTTCCTAAGTCATAACTTAAACAAAACAAAGCATACAGGAAAATTATTGACTGTTTAGTACAGCTTACTAACAAAGCTACCAACATTTTTCTTCCTTTTAAAATAAAAAAATATTTTAAAATATTTTTAAGCATTTAAACTTTAAACGATAATACCAACATAATTGACTTCAAATTTGTTTACTCAAAAAGCACTCCGTTCACGTTAATAAAATTCATACATTTTCACAGGACTTAAAAAAAGATCATTAAAAGGATCTTCGGCTAGTCCCGGGACTTGGAATCCTTAGCTCTTCAATAATAATGGAACATCATTTCCTACTGGCAAGAACTCTTTCTGCGTCTCTTGATTTTTGAGAGGAGCTTCTGCGCTTGAAATGGGTGCGGTTACGCCTTCCGTACTTGTTATTTACGTACATAACCTGTGCCTCCATATGTTCCTGACTAGCTCTCACGGGCAAGCGGCACATCTGGCGAATAACACTTGAATGCAGGAAGTGAGGAAGTCGGCGCCTTTGAGTCGATGTCTTCACTTGAGTTTTTGGCTTCTGGGGAAATAATCATAAATTTTAATAAATCAAATATATTTTAGCCTCTTACATCTTTATTGGTGTCACAACGAACCATCTTTACTAAAAACTGAAGATTTTGTAAAAATGTTTAAATAATTTTGTTAGATTCCAAAAATATTGTCAGGAAAGTAAAAATGTTTATAGAATATACTTTCTGTTGGAGATATTTTCACATCAAAGACTACTTGATTCGAAGATTCAAAAAATCCTTTGGATATTCAAAGAGTTTCCCAACTTTCGGGAAAACATTTGACCAAATCAAGGAGGGAAAAATCTGAAAAAAGTTATAACAAAAATTAGAAAGCTTTAAATGCTTTTCAACACTTTGCCGGCTGAGATCCTTGGAAACTCAGGTGGAACTCCTCAGCTGCTTTAGGACACCACTCCATGCCACCCACCGCCCTGCCCCGCTTATTGACTTTCAAGCTCAGTTTACTTTCCCGGCGCTGTTTGACTTTGAGCTTGGCCAGAACCTGCCGCCCCCTCCGGAAACTGGCAAACAGAAGGCTGCAGGCCAACTGCTTGAACCTGGCCAACTGGAGTCCTGGAGGTTCTGGGGAAAATGTTTTATGCTGTGCACGGTGAAAATTCACATAATTGCAGTTGGAATTCAACAAACAACAGCGGAGCGTAAATAGAAAGCGCAAAGTCAACAGAAAAGCGATAGCAAAAAAAAAAGGAAAGAATATACTGCAGCAAGCTGAAATCTTGGTGAGGTAAAAAATAAAAAAAAATTGAAAAAAAAATGCCAAGGGATAGAATCAGCAACGTCACCGCAACAACAGTAGCAAATACAAACAAACAAACTAACCTTTGACCCCTCCTGACATCGTTCTTCTGGCTCTTGTTGTTGTTGTTGTTGTCCACTTCAGGTGCGCCAAGTAATTGCAACTGAAACTGAAACTTGGCTAAGTTGCCAAGGAAACGAATTGCAGCTAAAATTGAAGCTGATGGCAGCTGAGACGAGGACTTGGCTATACATCCTGTGAGTGTGTAGAGGAAGCAAGATCCAGGACATTCAGCCAACACATTTCGATGCAGGTCATTGCGGCTAAATTAAAAGAAATCAACGCAGGTTGATTGGGTGGAGAAAAAAGAGGGGGGTAGAGGGTCACAGCCAACCGTTGACAATATAAGCAGAAAGATAAAGAACAGAAAAATGGAACGGCAAATGGGTGGCTGCAACTTGAACAGTCTGTCGTTGATTTTAATTAAAATCTTTAAGCTGCTGTTGATTATTAATTACAATGACACTGGGCCAGGGCTGCCGACTGACGTGGATAATGATAACAGAGTGGAGATTATAAATAGTAAAGGAGAAGTTGAAGACTTTTAGTTGCTTTAAGTTTAGGAATTTGTACTAGAAAGTCAGGGGGGATGTTAAGGTTTTGCAAGGGAAGGAAAAGTTTGTAAGGTACTTTTGGGCTAATCTAAAAAAATATGAAAAAATCAACTTTTTAAGAAGGTACACAATGTGGAATAACCTATTTAGCCTTACAATGATAACTTAATCTGGTTTCTTAACCGAAAATGGTAGTTTTCCCCCATAAATACCCCTCCAAAATCAAAACTAACCTCACCTTGAAATTAAAGTAACTAAAATGATTTATGTAAATTCAGCAAACAACAACATAACACACAAAAAAACACTCTCGAGCAAACAAATTTAAGCAATTTGTCAAAAGAAAACAAAAACACAAAAGCCCAAACAACATCAGCAAGCCAAATCCAAACATAAATAAAGCACAAAGTGTCAGGCGGACGGACGACGGACAAGCAAACAAACAAACAAACAAACAAACAATCGTCCCACACCTGCCACGCCCACCACCACCATCATTTGTGGGTGGCAAATATCGAGGGGGATGCTTTTAAGCTGCCAAATCCGACAATTAAATTATTGCATGACAAAACATGCACCGCAAAATATTCAAAGCGCGCCAAAAACAGGATGTAAACAACAATAACAGCGGAGCAAGGATGGAAAAACAGGAAAAACCTCAGAAAACACACACACACACCATAACACCCATACAGCCAGACAGAGGGAAAACATCAACAGCAACTAGCCAAAACATAAACACAACAAAAAAAAGAAAAGGCATTGAGGAAAAAGTGCAAAAAAACATACAGATTCATCTTCCGCAACAAGAACAACAAAGGGT